GGTGACGGACCACCGGGGCCAGGACAGGGCCGTGACAGGGTCCTCAGGGCTGTGATGGGACACCTGGGGCCAGGAGAGGGCCGTGACAGGGTCCCCGGGGCCATGACGGGACACCTGGGGCCAGGAGAGGGCCGTGACAGGGTCCCCGGGGCCATGACGGGACACCTGGGGCCAGGAGAGGGCCGTGACAGGGTCCCCGGGGCCATGACGGGACACCTGGGGCCAGGAGAGGGCCGTGACAGGGTCCCCGGGGCCATGACGGGACACCTGGGGCCAGGAGAGGGCCGTGACAGGGTCCCCGGGGCCATGACGGGACACCTGGGGCCAGGAGAGGGCCGTGACAGGGTCCCCGGGGCCATGACGGGACACCTGGGGCCAGGACAGGGCCGTGACAGGATCCCTGGGGCCAGGACAGGGCTGTGACAGGGTCTCCGGGGCCATGACAGGACCGTGACAGGTCCCAGGGCAGTCACAGGGTCCTCAGCAGGACCCCCATACGAGCATAGGTCCCCTCTGCAGTGCAGCCCTGCGCCACTGCAGCTCCCAGCAGGCGTTTCTGACACCTAGCGAAGCCTCCGCGCATCTAGGGCCAGGACAGGGCTGTGACAGGGTCTCCGGGGCCATGACAGGACCGTGACAGGTCCCAGGGCAGTCACAGGGTCCTCAGCAGGACCCCCATACGAGCATAGGTCCCCTCTGCAGTGCAGCCCTGCGCCACTGCAGCTCCCAGCAGGCGTTTCTGACACCTAGCGAAGCCTCCGCGCATCTTTCAGTTCACCCCTGACAACACATCTGTGTTCGTGCAGTGCAGTGCCTTCCAGAGCCACGGCTACCACCTGTTCCAGACCATGAAGTTCACCGTGCAGGACATAAACAACTCCAGCACCCTCCTCCCCAACATCACCTTGGGCTATGACATTTATGACACATGTTCGGAGTCTGCCAACATATATGCAACATAGCGTGCCCTTGTCCAGAAAGGGCAGCACAACACTGAGATGCTCAATACCTTCCAGCACGATGAGTCCAGGGTCTCCTGGCTGTCGTTGGGCCTGACAGCACTAAACTGGCCCTCACCACAGCACCTATCCTCAGTGTCTTCCTTATACTGGAGGTAAGCTTACCACAGCAGTGATGAGTGTGTTGCAAAGGGGTACCTGTAGCAAAGGAAAAGAGCTCTTCAAGACTAATCGTTCGAGAGAGAGGAGCAGGCAGATGAAAGATCCAAATTGTGGGCTGGAAATGCAGCCTCTGTGCCCCTGTCCCTGTGCAGTACCTGGCACCAGCTTTGGTCTGGCAGCTTTGCTTAGAATCTCATCCCAAGCACTGGGCTCTCAGGCAAGAATCGTGTCTAGCTGGCTGTCTTTCAAAAATCCCTCTTGCAGCAGCACACAAAGGAGCATTTGCCTTCAGGTCTGCCACCTCCTCAGCCCTAATTCTCTTCAAGAGACCTACTTGTGCCATTTCCTCCTTGGGCACCGTCACGTAGCACCAGTGCCCACCTCAGTTGGCACTGCTCAGGCTGGGTAACCGCCTTTTCCTGACTCCCTTTGCAGATTAGTTATGAAGCCTCTGTGGAAAAACTGAGTCTGAAGCGGTTGTACCCCTCGTTCTTGCGCACTGTTCCCAGTGATAGGCAGCAGGTGAAGGCCATTGTACTGCTGCTGCAAAGGTTCGGGTGGACTTGGGTTGCTCTGCTGGGCAATGACAACACCTATGGCAGAAGTGGATTAGAGGCCCTCCACGAGCTGCTGAGCGCAAACGACATCTGCATCGCCTACCAAGGCATCATCCCCTCGAACAAGGATGCCAGCAGCCCGCAGCTCCACGACACGGTCAGAGTCCTCACAGATATCAGGGTCAATGCCACCATCATCTTCTCCAGCAAACAAATTGCCCGCCCTTTCTTTGAAGTGGTGGTCCAGGAGAACATCACAGGTATGGTGTGGGCACTGAAGACTGCTCTTTAGCCCAAACAGTGTGGCATGTGCCTGGCATCCAGAATATCGGCTCTGTGATTGGGCTGTCAATCAAGCAGACAGAGTCCATGACACTGAAACATTCTGAATCTTGGAAAAAGGCAGAGGAAAGAGCCAGCAGCACAGGGGCAGGTGGGGGAAACGGGGGGAGCAGCAGAGAGAGTGCCCAGCTGAACTGCACCCAAGGCTGTACAGGATGCCAATTGCTCACCACCGCCCCTGATGAGTACGACACTAAAGCCTCGTACAGCACGTACACAGCGGTGTACGCTGTGGCCCATGGGCTCCACGCCCGGCTGGGCTGTGCCTCAGGAGCATGCAGCAAAGGCAGAGCCTATCCTTGGCAGGTAAGAGCAACACAAGGAAAGACCTTCCTCCCTTTGTGGTGTGGATTTTCACCATGAAGCGGTTACCCCTTGTGCGCGGGGGTTTCCGATCCCCCTCAAAGACTCGTCTCCAAGCAGAAGAAAGGCTGTTTTGGCAGCTAGGGCACTGTTACAGCATTCAGAACTGAGCTCCCCACACTGCTGCAGGTTGTAAGTCCCAGCCTCTGGCCATGTGGATCAGTGCAGACTGTCTCTCAAAGCCTTCCCCTTAACTGATGTGTCCAACTGTGTGAGTCACTGTCTGCTTTCAGCTTTCCATCTCAATACTGCACAGTGGCTGCCTTGTGGGCTTCAGCTGCCCATCACAGACAAAGCAGCCTGGATGGATCCAGGCCTGCACTCCGGGTCACTTCTATTCCTCTACCACTAGTCCCTGGCAGAAACGTGGAAGAGCTTTTCTGCAGCGGGGCATACGCTAGCTGTTGAGAAATTTGAGAGAGGAGACAGCAGCAGAAAAGGAGACCTCTAGCACCTCTCCCACCTGAGAGAAGGCTCCCCTCAGTGGGAGTCTCGGCATCATGAAGGGCTTTTCTCTTACTCCTTTGTTTTGCAGCTCCTAGAAAAAAATCAGGCAAGTAAACTTCAGCCTGCACGAGAACCAGATCTCTTTTGATGCCAACGGGGACGTTCTTAAAGGATACGACATCATCACGTGGAATTGGAAAGGTCCAAGCTGGTCCTCTGATGTAGTTGGATCTTTCAGTGTAAACCCTGACAGAATGAGTATTGACCAGGACAAAATCCTATGGCACACAAAAGATAGCCAGGTACTCAGGTACTGTTCCGCATCCAAGTCATATTTATTGTTCATGATCAAGCCAACTACATTCCCACAATGGATTCTTTGGTGTTTTCCCATAACAGGACTAATCTGAGGGCACAAAGCAGCAGTATGGGGCTGGGAGGACCTCCATGTTCCCACCACTCTAACCAAAATCCAAAGTATAACCAGGGCACACGAGCCTAAAAGGCTCCCAACTTCTGCTTTTACCTTTACTTTAAACAATCTCATTTCCTCAACACCACCACTGGGCGGGGGGATAAAAAAAGAAAAAGAAAGGGAGAGAGAGAGAGAAAGATTCAGATGAAAAGCTATCAGCCGCTGCCCAGGGTTTATCCTGAAATTAAGGGCAGCAAGCTTGCCAAATGCTACCCAGTGCTAGGCCTTGTGCTCAGCTTGATCTGTCCTACCGCCCACTCTGTTTGCGCTGCCACAGAGGCTCAGCCTCTGCGCACCTGATTGTTGCTGTGCTCCCAGCAGGCTCCTGTCTTAGTGTGCTCCATGGCCTGTCAAGCAGGGGAGAAGAGGCTGCAGCACAGTCACCACAGATGCTGTTTCAGCTGTGCGGCCTGCCAGCAGGAACCTTCCTCAACAGAACGGGTCAGTAAATCCTGAACGGCTTCCCGCACCCCCTTGTTGCTCTGCTCCTCTGACTGCACCTTTCCTCCCTGTTCTGGCTGCCCCCTGCTTCTGTCTTACCCTTTCCCCTTCACGCAGCCCCAGCAGCTGTCTCAATCCCTCTCATTGTCTTTTCCTCGCTATGATAAGTAAATATTTTTGAGTTCACCTAAATGCAGGTCACTGACTATTCTATTTAAATACTTGCGAGTATGCAAAAACCAGTCCCTGTGCTTGAGTGCAACCTGGGCCCAGCGCTCTGCTGGGCAAAGCTGCTAACAGATGGTTCCACACAGTCAAATGACCAGCTGAGGTAGTGCCCGCAGAGCCCCCTTGCTGATGTGCTCTGCCGCTTCCTCTTGAGGCCAGGAGCAAGGGAGGATCTGCCTTGACAGCTGCTTCCTGCACCACATCCCCTGGAAGGGAAATTCAGCCCCATGCTGCCTTTGTTCCCTGGATGGCAATGAGTCCTTCCACATCATGTGGTCGCTAGCAGCTCCGACTCCTCGGGGCGTATGGAAATGTGTCGTGCTTGGGACTGGCGGCAGGATCGTCTCATCTCAAGCGCCCTAGCCGCAGCTCTGAACCTATTGCCAGCAGGTGCCCCTGGCCATGTGGCAGCCTCAGTCTGCCCTTCCACTGAGTGAGGAAGAAACAGCCAGCTTTGGGTAACAGCAGGCACGGGGAACCTCCGCCAATGGTCTCCAAACATGCCTGGCTGGTGTTACTTTTCCCCTACCCACACCACAGCCTGCAGAAGCAGAGCTGCTGCAGACACACGCCAGTCTTTGCGGGCCTCTGGCTACTGCTGGATGTAACTTCCCCTCCTGGCTTGGACCTCAGCCCATTCAGCTGTAAGCCCTGTCTCGCCCAGCTGAGCTCCTGTGGCCCGCAGGCAAGGTCCCTTCCACAGCCTGCCACAGCGTGCTAAGGGCACGCAGAGCTGCGTCCCTTATCTCCTGGGTTTGCTGCCTTTCATCCCAAGCAGTGGGCTCTGTTTTGGAAAAGGAGCCCCACTGCTACCAAAGGCTTGGAAGCGCCCAAGCGGAAGGAGCAGAGTCCGAGGGGCCCGAGGAGCAGGCAGTCCTAGCTAGAGCCCACGGGTGGTGGGAGGGGTGGCGCTCCAGGCAGGCAGATCTCTTACCTGGATCCATGGTGTAGGAGGCGCCTCAGCTCCCGCCTGGGCTCGTGTCCTCCGCAGACCTCTGTGCTTGCCAGGCTTGCGGGAAAGATGAGTGGGCCCCAGCAAGGAGCAAAGCTTGCTTCAACCGGACCCTTGATTTCCTGTCCTGGGCCAACCCCATCTCCTGGGCCCTGCTGACTCCCATCGCCCTCCGCATGCTGCTCGTGGCAGGGCTGGCTGTTGTCTTTGCCCTGAACATCTCCGCACCCGTGGTCAGGTCAGCAGGCGGCAAGACGTGCTTCATCATGCTGGGCGCGCTGGCCTGCGCCTGCAGCAGCTTCTTCTGCTACTTTGGCGAGCCCGCCAGGCTCACGCGCGTGGTGGGTCTCCCGCTGTTCTCCATCAGTTTCACCGTTCTGCTCTGGCGTGTCACGACTCGCTCCTTCCAGATCGTCTGCATCGCCAAGCCCAGCAGGAAGCGGCCTGCCCCCTGCGAGGCCTGGACGAGGCGCAGGGGGCCCGCGCTGCTCATCGGCGGGAAACCCGCGGCCCCGGGGGCGGCGGCGCCGGG